CCCCAAAACCCCAAAACCCCAAAACCCCAAAACCCCAAAACCCCAAAACCCCAAAACCCCGAATATTATTATAAAGATTGAGTATGTAATTAATTCATAATTTTGAATATGAAAGGTATTATTTTTCAGCTGTGCTAAGAGTCTAGAATAGTTTTCCTTTAGATCCTAGCTCAATTTCTCTACTTAAATAAGAAAAGTCATGATTTTTGCTGGAGAGTTCTTCTCGTGTGAATTCATTTCTAGATTTCTGGTTAGCTTATAGTAAATTAATTTTTTAATAGATGGATTAATCGTAGTCAAATTGTAGAGCAGACACTACATTTTAGAAGAAATTTATCCTAGCTTACCATAAAGAAGCAGTCAGTTCAAGTTCTTGATCAAGGATTAAGTCCTGTTGAACAGGAATTGTGAATGTGGCTACAGTTCCTTCATCAATGGCTGATTCTACAAAGATAGTTCCTCCCATGGCTTCAACATATTTCTTGCTGATCGTGAGGCCAATGCCTGACCCATTTGAGTTACATTTGTTGGGGTCCTGACCCATTGAAAACATAGTAAATAGTTTGCCTTGCTGCTCCTCGGTGATTCCAACTCCGCTGTCGCTCACAGTTATTTGGCAGTATTTCTGATTATGCTTGTCAACGATTTTTCAGTCTATTTTGATATAGCCTTTGAAGGTGAACTTGTAAGAATTCGACATTAAGTTCAAGAGGATTTGCTTGAGTCTCGATTGGTCAGACTTAATAAGCAAATCCTTACAATTATTGGAAACATTCAGTTCTAATTTGAGCTGCTTCAGCTGACATTGCATGTGAAATATGTCGTAAACCTCTTCAAGGACTTCTTGAATATAGAAAACACTATTAGTAATGAAGAATGTACCAGCCTCCATTTTAGATAAGTTCAGTACATCTTCAACCAAAGTTAATAAGATCATTGAAGAAGTTTTGCCGATATGATAAAACTTCTTTAAAGTTTGGACGCTTCAATCAACAAATTGTTCGTCGATAACACTTAGTTGAGTTAGCTTAGTTTCAAATATTTTGTAGATGCTGTTAAAAAGAGTCAAATACAATATCAAATGAGTTTGTAATTGAATTCAAAGGCGTCCTGAACTCATGTGATGCACTTGTGAACATGATCTTCTGGCACTTTATGTTGTTCTTGGCCTCCTCCAGCTTGATGAAGTCGGTGATATCTACGAACACGTGCATATAGGCTTCGGAGCCTTCCCACTCAACCATGAGGGTCTTAACGTTACAAGTTCTGCTGTCTGTGTCATCAGCCTGTTCTATAAGGCTGTGTGGGTTGCACTCGATCTTGACATCGCTGTCGGTCATCGAGTCTTTAGAGTCAAGTTGCTGTTGCTGTGCCTTCAAGAACGCAGAGAGTTCGCGAGGCCCATCTTGATGGTTCTGCTTGTCTTCTTCCACAAAAGATACATCGATACTATTGAGTTCTTCGAGGTCTCTGCGAATTTTAGCAAACTTGTTGGTGAACTCAATGTTGGTGAACCACTTGTCTGTGGCTTTGGAGGGCCAGATGACAACACCGAAGGGGAGGACTTGCATGACTTTCTTCATTTCGGTGATGAGCTTTTTGTTTTTGAGGATTTCAGCATACATACTTCTCGTTCTCGTGACTAAAACATAGCAAGAAATAGAAAACCAAGCACAAGAAGATCCGAAGCTTAAAATTATGTCTAAGTTGATAATTCCATAAGTAGCCCAGATTCCATATCCAAGATGTATCATTGTTATGGAATATATTAGGGCACTAGATTTCCATTTATTTGGGACAAGAACCACTAGCATATGACTGAAGCATCAGCTTGTTAGATGATACTCATCTAACCTGTATGAGTTTTTACTTAAAGTTAGAATATTAGGAGAATAACAACTAATGCCTATTAATATTGGAACTCAATAAATAATATAGATTGGCCAATACTTGATGGCAACTAAAGTCAAGATTATCACTATAGAATAAATTGACGAATTGACTGAAACTTGATATTTTTCATCAGACATATCTATATGAATTATAAGATATTTATTTACCTGAAAAATTGAAAGCAGCAATTAGCAAGCAAGTAACCATTATAGCCAATCATGTGTTCCTAATATGACCAAAATATTTGTTCTTAGTTTTGTCTTCGATAGAATTAATCATAAGATTGTCAATGTCTTCATTGCTTGCTCCTTCTTGTTCGTAAGCTGGTTTTAATTTTTCTAACATATTTCTCATCAAGAGCAATCTCCTATTCACACAATCCAAGAATCGTCTAGTTCAACAAGATGTCTTATTTAATGAGTTAGGGTCTATAAATTAAATGTCAAAATATTAATTCTTGATTTTTCATTTCAAATTCAAAAATTTTGAAAATTTGTGAGCATGCTAGTAAAGAATGGGCATACCAAGTTTATCGATCAAAGAATTATTTGAATCAGGCATTTTTATAAGTACTACAAATATTATAATTTAGACTAGTTGATCTTATCACGGGGTTTTGGGGTTTTGGGGTTTTGGGG